AAATAGTAATAATAAATTTGGAAATTTGACGTTAATCGCTGAACTTGTAGATAACAGTCAATGCATGGCCGAAAATTTTGAATTGAAAAGAGAACTCCAGCGAGCGTAATTTTTAAAGGAATCGTAAAATTGAGAGTTGGAAAATGGAATTCTTATCTGGATGCTTGTCTCTAGTTTATAAGATAGTTGATGCTTCATATTACCATTTCCTAGGAAATCAAATGCAATCTTTAGACGAATAATATTGTACGTTGAACGATTCAAGTTAATCGCACTGATCTCATGCTAACTTCTGTATATTCCATGTATCCTCTGCAATTCACAGTTTTCTCAATGAAAATGGAAATTCGGTTCACGTATCTTCTCTACCGATCCAACTTTTCGTCGCGATGTCATCGCGTCATGTCAAAAATGCGATCGGCCGTTTATTTACTCGTTCAAAACGATCCCGTTTATTTTTTGTAATCCGTTCAAAATTTTCGACAAGCCTGTTCCACGGGGAACGAAGCGCGACGCGTACCGCCGATAAATTTTCGACTAATCCGGCCGCGATTTTCCAAAGTGACGTGTCGACGGGCGGCGACGGATTAAAGCCCGCCCCGTCCACCGTGGAGTAAAAAACGCCGTCTCTAATTTGAAATCTCCCTTAATCCTTCCGGTAATTAAAAAGCTGCGCCGGGAGCCCACGAAAAGAGATCACATCGTCGCCCCGTCTCTCTCTCTCTCTCTCTCTCTCTTTCTGTGCCCTCTTCACCCGCGGCGCGGAGTCTCGTTCGGCCCCCTTCAACCCTTTTAACTTCTCATTTAGGATAACATCCGGGTCCAGCGATCTTGTTAAGACTCTGAAGTGCTCGAATCTCCGCTCGAAATTAGTTTCCTTTTTCCCTTTTTTTGGCCGGAGAAACTCGTCACGCCGTTCGCTCGCGAACTTTCAGTTCAATTTATCGTTAATTTCTCCGAGCGAGGAACGAGTTTTTGAAAACCTCCAGCGTTTGATCCGCTCCCTCCGATTAACTTCGAGTGCATATTCCGCCGTTCCAACAGATTCGAGGATCTCTCATGCTATTCTTCAGCGTAGATTTTTCAAGCATAATCACATATTTTAAAAGTAGCTCACGCTGTTTCTAAATCGAAGATCCTTAGAGAAACATATGGATAAAAGAGGAACTTGCACGAATCACCTAACGTCATCGGAAATTATCCGATTTTGTTCTGCAAGCAATTATCCTTTAATTCGACGAAAACAGTTTTTCTTTGTGGAAATATCGCTAAACGTTCGTTTATTAAATATATTACTACCCGTGTAAGTAATACTAGTAAAGTAGTACAGGTGAAACGGGGCAAGATGGATTAACAAAGAAAATCTGCGAGCAGGCTCGAGACCGTGATCATTTCTCTGAATCACAACGTCTGTTCCCAGTCAGCGAAAACACAGTTTAACTCCTCGTTAGTGTTCTCGCAGGGAACACGCATAGGTGGCAGAGACACGTCCGTCCGGCAAGGATAGTTCATTCGTCTCAGTTCCCCGAATTAACAGTATTTTTCGAGTTCGCGCGGGAACACGCTCGTACGTACCAATTACGCAGGCCGGCCGCTACACGCGCGGCGGGTATATCAGCAAGCACGGCCAAGCGAATTAGACGTTGAAGCTCGTTAAATTTCCTCCGGACGGCCGATTCCTCCGGTTCGCCGCGAAAAAAATTCCGAATCGTCCGGTGAATTATGAACGGATCACGGCTCCGGATATTCGAAATCGCTCGCAGCGTCCGTGCTCGCCAGCTGCGAAAGTACTTCTGAGTGTTTCTCGTTCATTTCCACCGTGAATCATCGCGTGGAACGCTGGTGAATGTTAAACGGGACTCGCTCGAAAATTGGGAGCTTGGTGAACGCGATGGGATGCTTCGCGGAATCGAAACTGACGTTGGAACGGGCGAGCAGATGTTGTTTCAGCCCGAACGCGGCGTTTGTTCTAATTTAACCGAACTTTTAGTTATTTAATATTAGTCCACGACGATCGAAAGTAAACATTTCCTGTTCGTGAACGTTTACGATTCACGATCGGTTTACTCTTTCGTTGAATATACTATCTTCAGCTACGACGCCATCAACGGTAAAGCAACTTGATAGGAACGTTGATCACGAGGCAAGGTTAATTGTTCTCCAGATTTAAATGAAAAAATTTACTCTATACTTCCGTCTAGCTTTTTGTAATTAGTTTCAAACAATCCGGAAGGTCCGTTCATAGGTGGCCACCGCAGACGACGCAACCCTTTGCAGTTGTTTATTTAAGATATTCAACATTTCCTAATGACACTTAGACGATACTTGAAATTTAACGATTAAACTAAGGAACAAAATTATCTTGTTTCAATATTTCACACGGTGACGTGTTACGTTCAATATTAAATATTCAACTGTACAATCTACTTTCGAGAGAGTCGTTCCCCAAACGCAAAGGGTTGAATTCGTCGTCGGCCGTTCGGAAAGGAAACATCTGCTCGGCCGGTCGAACCGCGACGCGTCGAAGACCGTTTCTTTCCGTGAAAAGGGGAGGAAAAGCGTTCGTGTGAAGTTCGGTCGGTGCGAAAAGTCCCGTGTAGACCGGGTGAGAGAGCGGGCAGTGCGAGGCGATTATATTATCGTATTTTAATAATCGTCGGTCGTCCTCGGAACGATTCCTCGTGCGCGTGATTGATTCCTTACCTGTTCGGGCACTTCGGGGATCGAAATTCGACTTGGCCTCATCAGTGTCCCACTTCTTTCTCTCTCGTGGCACACGCCCGTTTACATTCGCGGTCTATTCTCTCTCTCTCTCTCATTTATCAGACCCGATCGACACTCGAGTG